AAATTGGGAAAGGAGTACAACAAGGCTGTATATTGTCCCCTGGCTTATTCAACGTATATGCAGAATACGACTGGAGAAATCCCAAGCCAGAATTAAGATTCCTGGAAGAAATATCAACAACCTCAGATATGGTGATGACATCACTCTTTGGCAGAAATTGAGAAGGAATTAAAGAACCTCTTAATGAGGGTGAAAGAGGAGAGTACAAAAAACAGTCTGAAGCTCAACATCAAAAAAGCCAAGATAATGGCCACTGGCCCCATCACCTCCTGGCAAATGCTTTGACATTTTGGTGTTCCTAAAAAGAGGGTTAACAAATTTAACTTAGAGGAAGTCCTTTTCCTTTCCCCACTTTTTACCGGCGATTTCTACTATTATAGCTTTTGGGTGGGGAAGGGATGGAGAAAGCTCTCTCCTTTTTCCTTAAGCCCCACGCGGTAAGTATTCCTTACTACTGGCCGAAAACTCAATTGCCAGCATCCCCGAACAAGCCTGCCCTCCTCCACCAGCACGTCTCCATAACTACAGGGAGAAGCACGAGAATGCCCCGTACCCACCAACAGCTCGAGAACCACGCAGTGCGTGAGGGCAGCACCAAAAAAAAAAAAAAGCCCCCGTGGGATTCAAACAACACACTGCATAGTGAACTCCTTTCCAGGGGCTACCAATGAGACGTTCTCACCTTGAACATAGCGAGAGAGAGCGCGCCGCACAGAAAATAAGGCGCAGCAACAATGACGTAAAATAGCATGCGCTGCCTACGGATACCGGTACGGCCCACGTGCTTTCATGCCCCTCTTTTTTTTTTCTCCTCCAAGCGCGCGCGGAGGAGGGCGGTGCTCAACGTGGTTTCCGGTTGAGCTTCGCGTCTTGGTATCTAGGCAACCGGGACGACAACAACAAAAGGCACTCGCGTGGCGCCTGCAAGGAAAGGTTTGTCGCGATGTTCGGCGCTATTCCGATCGGGGTGTCCGGAGAAAGCTATGGCAGCGAAAGAGGAAGGCAGAGGTATGTGCACGGGGTAGAAGAGGTCACACCGGAAGCTCGATATTAAAGAGTAATAAAGGCAGCTGTTTCCACCAAAAAGAAGCCGGTTTGGGGAAGTCTCCAGCTGCTGAATTTCTGCCCTTTCTCCTGTTAATGGAGCTAAAACCTATTAACTGGCCCAAGAGGCTCTGTTGCCTAAGACGGAGCAGCAAATAATAACCCTCACCCCAAAAGTTATTTTTATTTATTAGTTTTATTTATATGCTGCCTTTCTCCCAACAAGGGACCCCAAAGCGGCTCACATTAAAATCCACACAATTCAAAAACACAATAAGTTAAATTTTAAAAAGATAAATTAAACAATATATATGATTTAAAATGCAATTAAAAGATTAAAACATGAAAACATAAAAAAGATTAAAATTTCTGGTGAAATGGGGTTCAGGGATGGTAAGTGGTATCCAAGGCCAGACAAATTATTTTGGCACCTAACTCAGAAAGTCATAGATGAATCTCTCTCCGTCCCCTGGTTAAAAAAAATACAGTAGCAATTTGCTGCTTTTCGTTATAACTGGGAAATGCTGCCTCCTTCTGCCTCACTGGAATCCTCCGATAGGAAAAGCAAATAAATTAATAATATATGTAAAACTAGCTAAATGAGGACATTATATATATACAATAAGCCACAAAGAAAATTGCCTAGAGTGCATTTTCTAATTCAGAATACTGTAAGGAATGAATGCCACCTTTTTAATGGACAGCCAGCAGCTTTCCATCTTTGAGAGATATATACAAGTAAGAAGCCAGAAGATGAAGTACCTTCCAGCATGGAGAGATCACAGAGGACAGAAATGATTAAACCAGTTGTACAACTAAATCCAGAAGCACTCTCCAATTTTTGTTTTGAACAATGCTGTCTTGCTCCCATGAAAGTGGCCTTGGAAGTATTAATGCCTCTTTTGGCCTCCTGCTACTGTATACTGGAGACCAGGCACCCAGATAAAAACCTAATATATGTTAATTTATTCATGTAAAGATCACCAAGTTTGCTATTTAATCACCAGTATTCCCTTCCACCTCTATATAGATTTCTCTTTTTTGAATCAAAAATATAAAAACAAATGTGTTACAGTTAAGTAAATAAAATGAAGTGAAGTGAAAAATCATTGCTGAGTTGTTTCAAATACAAATTCCTCCCAGTGTTGATGCTGCTTGTATCTTGCATTCTTCCCTCACTAGGCCTGAAGAAGAACAAGCAGCTAAAACTATTCAGAGGGTATGGTGGATTCATATAAGGAAACAACTGTTTAAACTTCTGAAACATACAATTTGTGCAGCGGTATGTTCTTTTATGATGTCTGACTAAAAGTTTCAAACCTTTTCCTCAGCTTCCATGTTTTGTTGGAATAGAGCAACTTGTGGAATCTTCTTCCCCTATTCATTTTTTTATAAGAACAAAGAGACACATATATTTTGATGGTTAGGGTGCTATCATCTCTTCCACTGAAAAGAAAAAACAATAATCTTGCTCCTTATTGAAAAGAAAAGGATTTCCCAACACTGTACCTTTCAAACCCTCCCTACAGTTATCAAGCTGAATACAACCCAAGCCTATAAGCTTGTCTTCCCTCACAGCTGCAGAAATATAATTTGCATTCAGAGCACAAAGACATTGCAGCAAGCTAGAAATAACTAAATTTTATTGGATGGAATGTGTCCATAAATGTTCCATTTTGTGTGCAGTTTCTCTTCCCTGTGTTTGTGTAAGAGCATATTCATTATCCACCTATGCAAATGGAAAAACCCTGTTGCTTAGAACAGAATAATATCTGGCTCACAAGGAGTACAATGCCTACATTATGCCCCATAAATCCTAACAGGATTCTGCACATTATTAGAAGATAATATATATAATTGAGGAAGCATACTGGAGTTACTGTTTATTTTATTTCATAGTGTGTCTGTAGCATTCACCCTTATTAGGTTAAGTAGTTACAAATATAATATTCATGTTAGGCTAATGTTGCTGAGAGGCGGAGCCAAGAGAAATGTAATAAAGAGGCGGAGTCAGAGAGCAGTCAGTCAGTAAGTGAGAGTGAGAGAGTGGAGAAGGAGATAGAGTGCGGTATTTGGGAGAGCTGATGTGTGATTAGAGTGAAAAGTGAATAAGAACTGTAATAACATATAGAGGTTGAGATTGATGATATCAGAAGTTACCGATGATTAATAATAACAATTGTAATCAATAAAAACATTTTATTTAAAAGACAGTAAAGTTTGGACCTGCATCTTCATCCTTCCATAATAAAGGTTGATTCAGTGATCAACTGGTGGCAGGGGGATAAAAAAGAGGAGTAGTTTGCCTTTGTGTGCTCTGTGTCTAGACGGTCAGGCAAGGGGCACGAGGTTGAACGCCACAGTGTCCACACTGTTTTTTGGTTTTTAAATCCCTAAAAAGTTTACAATAAAATCTAACTCAATAAAACCAGTAGCTAATTTTAAAAACATCAATTAAAATGATAACATCAGTTCAAAACAACTAATTAAAAACAATGGTTAACTTGAAAATACTGCTGAAAATTCCTGCGCGCATAGTTGTTTAGTTGTGTACGACTCTTGGTGACCCCATGGACTAGAGCACGCCAGGTCCTCCTTTCTTCCACTGCCTCCTGGAGTTGTGTCAAATTCATGTTGGCTGCAGAGAATATAATCAATCTGATTTCAGTATTGGCATTCTGGTGATTTCCATGTGTAGAGTCGCCTCTTGTGTTGCTGGAAAAGAATGTTTGTGATGATGACCAGCTTGTTCTCTTGACAAAACTCTATTATTTGTCAACTCTATTTTTGCTATCTCTAATACATTTGTATAATTGCTAATTCTAACGTATGTGGTTATGTTTCAAACTTACAATGTGGAGGGATCGCTACAGTTGTAGCAAGTTACTTCAGTTACAATTAATGACTGAAGAGCAACATCATTTTTCAGAATGAAGAATGTGATTATACGAATTGAATTTGCAACAAAATATTGTTGCATGGAAAAGACCCTGATGTTAGGAAAGTGTGACGGCAAGAGGAGAAGGGGACGACAGAGGATGAGATGGTTGGACAGTGTCATCGAAGCAACCAACATGAATTTGACACAACTCCGGGAGGCAGTGGAAGACAGGAGGGCCTGGCGTGCTCTGGTCCATGCGGTCACGAAGAGCTGGACACGACTAAACAACAACAACAACATTGATGCATGGAAACCTATTCATTCTTCCAGCCAGCCATGCCTTCTTTCAAGACCCCGTTCCCTTCCCCCACCATATCTATGTGAATTTTGCAGCTACTTAGCATGCTCATTCTTAATTGTTTTGATCTAGGGCTTTGTTTTGGTTTTGCTCCTCATTTCTTTTTGCCTCTGAAAGTCATTTCTGGATCTGCACAACTTGAACTTCCTCTGAGCATGCTGATATCTCATTTTACCCTCAGTAGTATCATTTTAGCCATCATAACTCCGCATCTGTATTTCACTTTGGTAGAGTGGGCGGCATATAAGTTAAATAAATAAAATATTGCTCCTGATGATTATGAAAAAAATAAACCTTGCAACAAATTTGTTCAGCAAAAGCTATATTTCTTTCAGGAGCACTGCATTAGCTATGATATTTTGAAAAGAGTGAGTCCTTTGGAGGCAGAACTTCTTAAAGAACCTACTATTCAATATAAAGTCAAATTCAGGTAGTATCCATAGATATACATTTGTTTGTTGTTTAAGATGTTTTTCTTTAGTTTAATACAATTATCTGTCCTTTAACATTCAGTGTTGCCATAGTCTTGCTTAGACTGATTTTAATGGAGTATTTTCCTTTAAAAAATATTAAGGATGAATAAATTAAACTGATTTAACTAACAATTTCTTATTTTGTTTAATTATTTGACTGACTTTATATTGACATTAAATAAGAGTTATAAGGATTTCAAATCTCATAGTGAAAGTTTATTTTAAAAAATGATGGTATAATATCACCCTGTACATACCGTATTTTTGCTCTATAAGATGCACTTCCCCCCCCAAAAAAAGTGGGGGGGAAGTGTCTGCATCTTATGGAAGATTCAGAAAAGGTCCTAGAAACTGGAGATTTTGCCCCTGCTGGCCCTGAGGGGGGTGGGGGGAGCCTAGCAAGGGTCCTGGAAGGCTCCCCCACCCCCCACAGGGCCAGCGGGGGCAAAATCGCCAGCTTCTAAGACCTTTTCTGAGGCTTAAAAGATTCAGAAAAGGTCCTAGAAGCTGGCAATTTTGCCCCTGCTGGGCCTGGGGTGGGGTGGAGGGAGGCTCCGAAGGGTCCTGGAAGGCACTCTCGGACCCTTCCGAGGCTCCCCCCACCTCCACCACCGCGGGCCCAGTGGGCCGATATTGCCAGAATATTTTTTACTGTTTTCCTCCCCTAAAAATGATGTGCGTCTTATGGAGAGGTGCATCTTATGGAGTGAAAAATACGGTAAGTTACCCATGGTTGACTGAAGTTATGATATGGAAATCACTGTCATTTACTTCAAGGGAATATGTGCATTTGCAGGAACCTTTTGGAGCAGTGGTTCACCTGTTGTATTGTAGCCAAAACTGTGCTCATGACCCAGGGTTTATTCTCTGGTAGCTGGCTCAAGGTTGACTCAGCCTTCTATACTTCGAAGGTTGGTAAAATGAGTACCCAGCTCACATGGGTGGGCAGTGTGCAGCCTGCATAATTGTAAACTGCCCAGAGAGTGCTTTAAGTACTATGGGGCAGTATATAAGCAGCACACTTTGCGTTTTTCTTTCTTTCTTTGCATTATCCTTAGGATTTTCACACTGTTTAGTTACCTTAACTGCAGAAGTTACCAATAATACTATTTAATATTATTTAAATAAAAATTGAAATGTAAAAACTCTTCCATGGCAGAATATGTGAAATAGGTTTTACATAACTTATTAACTTCCAGGATTTTCTCTCCTTAGATTTGCTGGGTCGGAGTTTCCCCCTTTCATTGTGTTCAAGATATTTTGCAAGTCAGTAGGTCAAAGCAACCAATATCTCAGTGGGAAAAGAGTAATAACATCAAGGAGTGAGGTGAATAGCTGGCTGTGTGGTTGTATTTTTGACAGTGTGTAAATTATGAATGATTTGTGAAAGGCTTTTCTCTTCACACTTCTTCCAGAGAACTGAAAAATTGCATTTGAAATGCTTTCTCAAGTTTATGTAATTCTTCTGTATGTTAAAAAGGGGATTGGAGGTTTCATATAAGAGGTGCTGAAAGGGAATGTTGTAGAAATACGTATTAGCTACAGTTTTGAATTCTTCGAGACTTAGTTACTGAAAAGAGATGAATTTCCTACATAGCAGTATCAACCATGTAGAAAATTGGTCATATTTGAAGTGATTCTGAGAAAACTATTTTTTCTGGACTGCAGCCTGATAACTTAATTATTCCATTTTGATCCAGAAAGCAGATCTTCAGATTCCTTTGAGTTCTTAATGTTATTCACTCTGTCATAAATAGTTTTCAAACTGCATTATTTCTTTTCAAGCAAGACATTTGGTGGAGGACAAGGCATATTGTCTTACCCACAACTCACATTTTATTTGTATTTATTATTTATATGTATACTCTAGTCATCAATTTTATTATCAAGGTTGCTTGCAAAGTATTGGTTAGAATCCTATTAGGCAAACTAGTGTAAGCCAAAACAGCATAAATTTCAGCAGTGAATTGACAGTAGTTAAAGGGGTGACATTTAGTCGTTGTTTATATTTTTTAAAAAAATACCCCACCTTGCTCCTTAAAAACAACCCAAAGAAGCTTACATCACTAAAAGACAACATTATGTACCAGTCACATGACTGATCACAAGGAATACATGCAATGACTCCTTCACTAGCAGCAATTAACCCCTAAAATTTATGCTATGATTAATGCTGGAATATTTAAGTAATAAATTTTTGGTCATGCGCTGATTAATAAATGGTGCAGGCACTTCATGTCACAGAACTTGCTTATCTTATTCTTTCCCTGAAAAACAATGTGAAAAATAAGATGGTGTGAATCAGGCATAGACATTATTGGCCTCCACATGGAGCATCTGTATCACATATTATGATAGATTTGTGACAGTGGTGTACTTATGTCCTCTCTTCCATTATGAGAATAAGATCAGTTTCCACTAAGCAGATAAACAGTTTCTAGATAATCCACCTTCAACCTCTAATACAATTTTTAGATACTAAATGAACTCTTTTCATTGGAACTACTAACTCAGCTAACTTTCATCTTGAATATAAAATGCATGAGGATTTCAGAATGGTAGCTTGTAATGGAGATTCAAAGAAACTTAAGCATTCTGTTCTGCATTTTCTGTTGTTTGATAGGCAGCTGTTGATGCTTGCAAATTAATGGGCTATCGGAAATATTACAACCAGATACTGCGTGATGAACTTCAGCATAAGAAATATGGAATAATAGATGAAATGGATGTTGCTACAATAAGAGACTATGTCCAAGTAAGCACATTGTCAACAAGTGACGATTTGCCACCAGGGTGTGCATGATGTTCCTCGTGGCCATGTAAATTGTCATTGGTGTTTTGGCCATAATATCTGAACAGACCCACATTCAACTTAAATGGACCATTCATAAGAGCAGTACTCCAGCAATGAGGAACATTGTGATTATATAGTAAATTGATTTTTAAAGAATTCAGTTTAACAAATCTTACAGAAAATACTCTATGAATAGCAGTTATTTGCAGTGCAAGCCTGTGCATCTTTGCTCTGAAGTAAATTCCACTGCATTCAGAAGGGTTTACTCTTAAGTAAATGGACTTAGAATCCCTATCTTAGATTCAGCATCCAAGATTGATTAAACAAAACACGTGCAAAAAAAGAAGACAGCTTTCCAGAGGTACCCAGGAATTCTAATATAATGAGATACTTATAAATGTTATTTTATGATTTTCTAGTACGTTAGTTATGTGGATGAGACTCCAGCATATTTTGGTGGCAGGCATAACTACTGGAGAAAGCTAAGTCTGGAAAACTTTCCCAGAGCAATGATGTTGTATGATATCATGGACTATGCACAGTCTGGGAAGCTGTCTGCCCGCCTAAGGATGGAACTGCCGTTTCTGCTGCTGAAGCCACAGAATGAAGAAACGTCTCGTGCTCAAGTCCTAGCTGTTTGTCAAATCAGGTAAAAGGATGCCAACTGTGGTTATATTTGCTTATTTACTTGACTTCGGAAAATTGTGTTCTTTCTTTCTTAGTTTTCTTTTTTGTTTGTTTGTTTTTTGACAAATAGCAAAAAGAAGTCAGTGGAATTACAGATTCAGCATTCTCTTGGCTGCCAAATGAGTGTTGCTTTGCAGTAAGGCATGTGTGAGTGCAACAGCTGAAATCCTATTGGATAGGGAGAGAGACTGATAGCCATGCTTCTTTATCCAGAAGCATGTTAAACCAGAAGGAGTGCCTTGCCATTTTTGGAGCAGACAGTGATCTATGATATGCCTGTCAATCCATTTTCAGTGGATGGACTGTGTCAAGGAATTTCAAATCAGCTTTGATTTTTCATTCTGGAAAACCAGTTTTCTATATACTTCTGGTCCCATGTTATTCCTGTCAAGCAGAGTTCAAAGATATGCTGGCACCATGAATTTACAGCAAAAGAGCTCACAGAAACTATTCTGAATCCTCCAGCAGCAGGACACCAGGAGCACAGGGGAATTAAAATAGGTGCGGGGGTTGTGGAAGTGTGATGTGGGCGTACCAGAGCTTGGAAATAAAGCAATGGCATCACCTCTAGCTTATTGTCATGCTTTGGAATATTGTGCTGTACCAACAAAAGAGGTGGCATAAGTTACCTCCTTTGAATTCAGTGGAGAGTCCTGATGAAGATCCTTGCCTCTAAAAGCAGAAAAAAAAACTTTTTGAGAATAAAACTCTAACTCTGCAGACAAAAATGGCACAATTCCAGGAGCATATAAAGTCTAGTAAAGGAGCACAGATATATTTAAAGTAGCAGAGGAGAAGGCTATATTATTTTGTCTCAGCATTTTTCAACACTTTGCAAAAAGAGTGAACTTATTATAAATAAGGAACCTTCAGCAGCAAGGGAAAAATGGTTGGATGAATAACAAGCCCTTACAGATACTCTCTTTTGGGAGTCCAGATGCTGAGATCCACCAAATAGAAATGTACTTGGGCTTCAGTAGATTTAGGGGATACTTTTATTTCTACCTCTGGCACCTGTCACAGACCACATTTCCTCTACAAAATTGTTTGCATTGTATGTGCTTTTTTCAAAACCAGAAATAGTAAATTGTTCATTTCCACCACTTTGCTTCTTGCTTTAGAGGAAAATTTCAAGTCTCATTTTTGAACTGCTCTTGGAAATCTGTCCCTGTTACCCTTCTGTCTGTTATGTGTGGTTTCAAGGCACAGTTGCTCTACAAGGAAGAACAAAATAGCATTTCTTGGCAATGTTTATTTATTATTTATTTAACTTATATGCCACCCACTCTACCCAAAAGTCTCTGGGCGGCT